GGATGAGGGTGTTGGTTGTTGTCTGGGTGAGGGTGGAGGTTGTAGGTTGGATGAAGGTGGAGGTTGTAGGTTGGGTGAGGATAGAGGTTGTTGGCTGGGTGAGGGTGGAGGTTGTAGGTTGAGTGAGGGTAGAGATTGTAAGTTGAGTGAGGGTGGGTGTTATAGGGTTGGTGAGGTTGTAGATTATAGGCTGGGTGAGGGTGGAGGTTGTTGGCTGGGTGAGAGTGAAGGTTGTAGGCCGGCCTGAATAGGAAAGGCTGCTCCTCACTCTCTCTGGGGATGGGCTAACTCAGAGGGCAGCCTCTTCAGCATAAGCAGGGTTAGATGTCAAAGCATTAGATAAAGGAAGTGAAAGTCATGGTTAATACACCCACTCTCCAAGGAACTGGCCCATGGATTGGGTTCTGATACAAGGATATGAGTCCCTCATGAGCAAGCTAAATCCCCTAGACAGTCTCTTTGGAAGATGGCAGCAGCATACAGACAACTGTTGTGAGCCGCATATCCTGATTTGGAAAGGTTGTCAGTTCCTTCTAGAACAGGTCCACATTGCTCTCTGCTAAGGTTGAGCAGGACCCTGGTGTTGAAGGATACATGGAGTTCTCAGTAGTTCTGGGAGAAAGCCCTGGGAGGAAATGTTTTTTCCTTGCATATATTGGTAGACTGAAATGAAGGTGACCTTTATGAGTCATGACCTTCCATGGGTCATGCTTCCCGCAAGTGACTACAGAATCGCAATGGCTTAGGACCCAAGCGTTTCCTTCTGGTTTACATAGCATAAAGGCTGTGGGTTGCCACCATGCTGCCCTGGGTGGGAATGCAGGTTCAGCACAGGTCAGCACAGGTCTTGGGGAGATGGGGCAGAGAAACATGAGAGGCTGAGCCACTCGCACAGCCACAGGGGAGGCGGATGCTCGGAGATGGAACCTCTCAGACTTCCACCTTCCAAAGGCTCAAGCCACAGTGTGGGGCAGGGAAGGGGCATGGATGGGCTGGAGTGCTTAGACCCTGGCAAGGAAGAATGGATGGATGGTGGAGCACAACGTGATCTCTTCTGATGCCATCATCTGAGGTGAAAAGTTTAAGTTGCTGCAGAAGTTTGAATTATCTTCTTTAGATCCCTCTGAATAATCTGATATGTCTCAGTTTTATTGTCTTCTTAGTAATCAAGAAGAAAGCATATGATCGCTTCTAGCAAAATAAACTGCAATTTGGCAAAAGAGGCAATTTGGTCATGGTCAAAAATGAACATTGTGGTCTCGGATACATATTTAGCTGATTTTGCAGCCCTTTCATTTTCCTTACGGAATTTTTCTTTTTTCGGACTTAAAAAAATTCATTATCAGTCATATGTTTTCTACCCTGTATAGTTTGTAATAGCAAAAAGTCAGAAAAACCTTAAGATCCGGAAAGAAATTAGCGAGAACATTCTAAATATCCACATTGCTACTAAGTTTTTTTGTTTCCTGTATTTTTGCTTACTACTGAACAGCGCACTTTTTATTCTAAAAAATATGAGAAATAAGCCAGGCGCAGTGGCTCACGCCTGTAATCCCAGCACTTTGGGAGGCCGAGGCCACCAGGTCAGAAGTTTGAGACCATTCTGGCCAACATGGTGAAACCCCGTCTCTACTAAAAGTACAATAATTAGCTAGGCATGGTGGTGCGAGCCTGTAATCCCAGCTATTCAGGAGGCTGAGGCAGGAGAAT